AGAAAGAAAGAAAGAAAGAAAGAAAGAAAGAAAGAAAGAAAGAAAGAAAGAAAGAAAGAAAGAAAGAAAGAAAGAAAGAAAGAGAGAGAAAGAAAAGAAAGAAAGAAAGAAAGAAAGAAAGAAAGAAAGAAAGAAAGAAAGAAAGAAAGAAAGAAAGAAAGAAAAAGTTTCCAGTATCACAAAATAGAAAAAGGAAAAAAGATAAGTATTTAAAGTTACAAACTAAAATAGGATGTGGTGGTGCAGACCTGTAAGCCCTGCACTCAGGAGACAGCAAGAGCCCCAGAAGTTTGAGGCCAGCCTGGTCTACACAGTGAGTTCAGACCACTTGGGACTAGAGACTCTGAGAAAGAAAGACCAGGAAGCAAGGAAGGAAAGAAGGAAGGAAGGATGGGAGGGAGAACAAAAGAAAAAGGAAAAGGGGGGAGAGGGGAAGAGGTGGGGGTAGGAGGAAAGGAAGAAACAAAGGCTCATTAACTTGTCCAAGATAATACAGCAGCACCATGGGGTTTTTCTGTGTGTGTGCGTTTTTTGTTTGTTTGTTGTTTTGATTTTTCTTTTCTTTTGTTTTTTTATTTTTTGGTTTTTCCAGACAGGGGTTCTCTGCAGCTTTGGAGCCTGTCCTGGATCTCACTCTGTAGACCAGGCTGGTCTCAAACTTACAGAGATCCACCTGGCTCTACCTCCCGAGTGCTGGGATTAAAGGTGTGCGCCACCACTGCCCAGCTAGTTCTTTGTCTTTTGAGACAGGGTTTCTCTGCATAGCCCTGGTTCTCCTGGAAGTCATTTTGTAGACCAGGCTGGCCATGTCTTAAACTGCACCACTCTACTTTAGAGACCTTCAGCTAAGCCTATTACCAGGGGTCACTGAACATGATACTAACCCACGGAAGCTGGTAGTCCCCTTCACACTCCCTGGCTGGTATCATTACCTCCCCAAATCTATTCTCTCTTCTCACCTGTCGTTCTGAATCTTCTTCAGTGTCTCCAGAGTCATCATGGTCTGTCTGGTAGGTTTTTTAAGGACAGAATCCAGGCCTCGTTGTTTGGTTTCTGGGACTGCGGATCTTTCTTTAGTAAGAGATGTTTTCCTTGCACTTGAGACCACAGATGTTCCTTCGTGGCTGGATTTCTGAAAATAAATGA